TTTTGGAATCCATAATGTGATGAGATTCCAGTCTCTGCAGACTTTTCCGTCAATAGTGGAGTATGATTTTTGTTAGTTTTTTTTATTGTTATTTAGAAAGTATGTAAATAAATGAATATATGTAATAATTATGTTATAGTAAGTTTTGTAAGGTATAATATACTGCAGTCTATTTTTTCACTTAATTTTTTTTTATTTGTAACATTCACAACACTTACTGATAAAGACATCCTATGTTCATTTCCTTCCATATTCTGCAGAACATATGATATTCCAGTATATCATGTTTCATTATACATTTCTGTATCAAACTTTCACAATCGTCTTGGAACCCATCGGCAATATACACGTGACAGATTGGATTTCCATCTATAATAAAATGTAATATTCTTCTTAACAAGTTGCTACTGTCTTACATAGAGTTAAGGATATATTCATAAACATTAATCTAGAAAAGGTATTCAATAACTTATAGGATTGTTTGAAGTATTTCAAATTTCAATAATATAGATAAGAATGTATGAGTATTATATTTATGTCGAAAATCCTTGATATAAGTTTACTTAATTTCTACTGCTAATACCACAGAATTGTTTTGTTCGTCGCTTTCGTGCGATCATTCTTTAGATATTGCAGAAATAAAAATATTTTACAACACTTTACTTACACATTTTACTCGTATTTGGTAAGTTAAACGTTTCATAAATTGAACTCGACATTGTTATATAGTGCTTAGCAGTCGTAAAATCTGTAATAAATTATGTATTGTTAAATGTATTGTTCAGCAACACCAAAACAAATTTTTGAAAATCTGCTATTTGCCACCAACGCCATATGCAATTTTCCAAAGAGTAGATGACATTCGATGAGACAATGATAGAATTTTTGACATTGTATTCTTTGACATAAAGATAAAATTAATGTTAACAGATTATACACTGACTCACAGGTTGATATTTTTTTCACTAGTCAAACTAACGACAGACATTGAGTACACGGTTTCGCATTTTCTATATAGAAAGACTTCCAAGTGCCGAAGAATTATTTATTTTGTGACATTTTCCTTACACTTTTACTTCTAAATTTCCTTAAATATATATTGTTTAAATAGATTTGTTTTGGTATATAAATATTATAAGAATAATGTGAGTAAATTAATATAACAATATTGATCATTTCATCAAGAGCTTTATTTAACATTTTTCTATTAATGATGTGCAATGTCGTAGAGACAATGTTTACTTTGAAAATTAACATTTATATAAAATTAAAATAAAACTACTAATAAACACAGGCAAAGTTGAAACATTTATTTGACTACAAATCACTAACCTCTTACATAATAAATTACATCGGTTTTTAATGCACAGGTAACATTCAATGAATAAAACACTGTTATGCTTACGATTATTTAATTGATTGAATACGATTTTAGAAATCAAACTAGCGCATCTGCGGTCTTATTCAATCTTTGTACATTTAGTACACAAAGGAACAAATTGACAACGATATGCTGTGCGGCTATAGAGATGCTAATCATTGCAAATATCGTAATCACTACTATAACGTTAAACTAAAATCGATAGAAGTTTATAGAGGTGCCTTCTCGATAAGTTTGTACCAGTGACCGCACTCGCAGCGGCGTGGATGGTCCTGGAAAAAAAAATAGAAACAATTTTTATTGAATAATTGCAAAATGTTTTCATCAGGGGCAAACTAATAAAAGGCATTAATAATTTAATTGGATGTGAACCATAATACATTAAATATGAATTCACATTATTATAAGTAGCAATTTACATTTTTGCCGTTATATAATTAAATTTAATTTAGAAATATACACAGCAATGTGTTTATTATTGTATAATATGAGCATTGTAAGGAACTCAATAGTTATATTTTTATGTTATTTTGGATGTTTCCAGTTGGCATGATCCACTTACCAATCAATTGGCCTGAAGGTTTTTTCTCCATTGGGCCGATTGAATACATACAAACAATGTGACTATCATCAGCACACTATACATCCATACTGAGGGGCTCGGAGCCTACTCTAAGTTAGGGGCGACAAAGCCATTTTATCTCATAGAATGCATCATTTTAAGGTTAAATAGAATCAATTTATAAATTCTTCATCATAGTCTTCCTGGATCTGGACTAAAGAAAATAATACTTATGTAATTATTTTAAACAAACTTACCTTATGTACCCAAAGCCAGTTGATAGCTGTTGAGTGTTCTTCACCTGGAAAAATTAAATATTATGATTAAACAGTTTTATATTTCATAACAACTTTCCACAGATAAAACATCTATCTCGGTTTTAAAAAGAGAATGAATGAGTTTTTATTAAAGTGTTTTCAGCACAGGAAAGAGAATCTACTAATTTATACATTTATTGATGTTTGCAGCAGTTATTCCTTAACATTTGGCTGTTACTGGCTAATCAAAATAATTTCTTTATCTATGACTTTATCTATAGATATTTTTATCTTTAATTTTTTATAAATAAAGACTAATGCTAGATGAACAATAGGAGAAATAAATAATAAATGAATTTATTAGTATTTCTACATATTGAAGTCTTAATTACAATAAAATACAAGCCATTTACAAATTTTAAGAATAAAAAAGTATATTATATTGTTCTGATTCTAATAAGATAAATTAATTTATTTTAAGATAATAAAAATAAATACTATTGTATTACGGTACAATACATATTAGTATGAAATATTCCAGTAAGGGAGCATAAAGAGCAAACAATGACTAATGTGAAAGGAAGCTATGTATTTAGATTGAAGCAAAAAACATCTAAGACCACAGTTAACGGATGTCAGTGGTTTCTGCCGCCCCCTTGGGTTATAAGCATAACCTTTGTTGCTGTTTGACAAAATTAACCTGCCATTATCCTTACGAAGGGTCGGCACACCATGTACTACTTCATCTCTATCAGCTGTCATATCTGAATCTACCACCTTCTTACGCATGTCCTCTTTAACACAATATATTCATACTTTCATTGGTCTTCCTTTACCTTTGTATGTCCACATAAGTGTGTTATTACATAAACAAAATATTAACTTACATATGCAGCCAACAATTCTTGCATCAAAACAGGATGGCACAAGTGTAGGGTCTTCGCGTGTGCCTGCAGCCTTCTTAAGCATCTTCATGTTAAAGGGATCGTCATTACCAGCCTGTAATGCCAGCAGTTCTTTCTTCTCTAGACCAGTAGCATGCTCCATGGGGTCAGCCATCACTGTAGATTAAAGACAAAAATTTATAATATTCTTAATGTTTTGTTTATCATAGAGTTATTTGAAATGTTTTTAAGATTACCTTATTAGAATCATTACATTTCATAAATTAGAAAATTTGATTAACAAAAAAGAAATAAATAGAGCAATTGTAATTGATATTTATTGTTTTTAATATATTTCACGTACAAATTACATAAATTTGTATATAATTTTTGCACAAGCTATAAATTACTGAAAAATCACGGGATTCTAAAGATTCTCAAATTTTGGGTTATACACGTAAGTCGGATCGCACGATATTTATTCGGATTTTGTGATAACATTCATAACCTATAAAATAAATTGTAAATCAAGTAATTTGCGTAACGTATCATGCCTAACAAATTAAATCTGTTGTAAATATATTAAGTTTTATCAAAGATACATATATGTTTTACAAATGGAACCATAAAAAATCAATAAAATGTGGTTTACATGACGTTTTGCTGAAGGACAAGATTTTTTCATGATTAAGTAACTGTCACTTTGTGAAATAATAAAACATAATAAATATTAACAAAAATTGATACATTTTGTATAATTTTATAATATTATTTGTTTTTATTGTATTTTTCTTGGAAAATTTGACATTACGTAACTTAAATTTGACAGGTAAGGAAAACTCTAATAAATAATAAATATTCTTACTTTTGTCCGCATATCCCCGTCGGGCAGTGGATAAAATAAGATTTCTGCAGGCATTTACGCGAAGAATTTGTCTGCACAAGGAGGCCATGGTTAGTAAACGTTTCACAATTTTATCACTAGACCGCTTCTCACGGCAGCAAGTGGAAAAGATTGTCTTTGGTGTTGCAATGTCAAAAAAATTCAAAAGACAATTGGTATTAATGTTGCACTCTTTAAGGTAAAAATTCATCGGCTCCTTTCACACAAGTTTAAAGTCGAAAACTTTTACTATTTTGAGTACAAGTTAAAAACGGGATAGATTTATTAAAATATATCATTTGATATATTTAAAATGATATCGCCATCGATTCGTCAACTCTGTACTATTTAATATTACCTTATTTTTCTCTTTTTCTATACCCACTCGTCTTGTTTCTTTTATAATAAGCCCTCCGGAATATCTATCCCCTTAATGATTCTCTAATTTATAAGGGATAGTGAGTAGCTCCTACTATCTAAATTGATAGATTAAAATTTCTTTTAAGATCTTATTATAATTGTATTGTGTGTTTATGTTCCATAAAATATTCGTTTTATAAAAATACTTTCAGGTATTTATGTATATAATTATACTGTAGCAATATTTTTTTTCTAAAAGGGTTTAAATTAAAAATGCCGTATAAACTTTTTTTATCTCTTTTTAATTGGAAAGATAACAACGAAGTTATTTACATTATAAGTAGTTCATATTGAAAAAAATAATGAAATCCATTTTATTTGAAGGAAAAAGTGTTCTTAATCTTAATTTTATGTTAATACTGTCATGCTACGGGAAATTAACTATTATTTCATTAACTCTGATAAAATCAACACTATTTATTCACCTGTTAATATTTTTTGCGCTGAACATACCAGTTCACTGCTAAAAAACTATATGAAATGTTATATCTTTCGCAATAAATTAGATAAATAGTTTTCACACTCTATTATTTTACCTCTTAAACCTTCTTATTGTAAAAATAAAGATTGTAGTACGCTTTAAATTCAGGGCCATCAGGAGCTGTAAAAATTAGAAATTAAACATATTTTAGGTGAATTCGAGCGCTGAATGTGCTGGCTTAATGGGAACGTGTTATATTGGTATCACGCAAAACCTTACTATTCCTTACCATTAGCATAAATTGTATCTTTTGCCTAATCTTGTGTATCTTATTAATACAAAAGATGAAAGATAGTATAATTTTCATACGAAATCAGTTTCGCGTACGTCCGCTTCTTTGTATAAAACAACCTTTAAAGGAATTTAATCGGACATCAATTTCACCCTCTTCGAGCTGTAAAAAAAATAAACAAATCGGTATAGAAACTTAATTTCTTCATTATACAATATTTAATCAACGTTAACAACAATCAATATTAACTTACAGGGTCGTTTATGTAAAGCTCTCTGTAACAAGACGGCGAAACACATTCTCTGATGCAGCGAGTTCGCGCCAAACCATTCATATGACTGCATGCACTACTTTGTTCGCAGGCTGTTTCAAATTCTCGGAACGTCATTTCCTGAAATAAGTATATCGCATTATGGAAATAACAATAATATGAAAAACACAACAATAAAATTCCGAACATACGTTCTTAGGCGTATCTTTGTATGGGTATTCTTTAAATGTGAATGGAACAGCAGTCGGTTCACATACATAACTTTTATATAAATCAAAATTAATGTAGATGATCCACAAAAAAGGTATTTTTAGCATGTTGAATTTAATACGGTAAAAGGTTTTTAGCAACTTAGTGGAAAAATCAATAATGGCGCGTTGCGCATGTTGTTCACGTGACTATAGTATGAGTTTTATCTTTCTCATTTCTTTAAATTTAATATAATGTGATGAAGTTTTTCTAATTACATAATAGTTATATATTTAATTGTAAAATACATACATATTTATATTTAAACTCTATTTAAATATCGTTGATAAGATCAAAATACTTTATGATTACGAAGAACTGGGAAAGAATCTCTTCAATTTCAAACATTTTATGGACTTATAGATGCCAAAGATAAAGTTTATGAAATATGTTTAGAATTTTTTGACTACTTTTCGGATTTGAATCCTCGGTACACCGCAAGTTTGCAAGCACATAATAGTTATAGATACTCTGTATAAAAAGCATAACAATTGTCTCTGGTGGTCTCTGGTGTGATGAAATTGTTACGTATTTGGACAGATGGAGAAAGAGCAAGTTGATATTTGTGTTTGAAATTGAACGTGCCTGAATGTAAAGAATTGCAAATTAATTTTATCAATACGGTGATTTTGTTTGTTTTATTTTTATTTTTTAAGTGTTTGTGCCTTTAGTGTCATATTATTTTTGTGTACAATTGAATTTTGCTCATTTATTCCGGTTGGAAAGGAAATTGTTCACGATTAATCGAATTTGGTGAGTATTTAATTTTATATTTATTAAGTATTATCGTACATAAATACACGACAACGAGAACGTGTTTTCGTATATAGCTTAAACGTACTTAAAACAACTTATTCCCGCGAAGTACATTTCGCTGATTTTTCCATCAATATTGTTATTAGAAAGCTTTTAATTATTTTTGCTAACATGTTACAAATTACCAAACCGTGCATCAAGTTTAGATTTAAATGAAATTTTATACTTTCGACTCTATCTTTCATCAAGAAATCTTTATTTTTTAACACAAAGGCTAGTAAAGAATCTGTAAATCTTGCAATTCAAAACTGGCTCAACAACAAAGGCTATATTCAAGGAAATGTATTGCAATTGAAAAAAAAAGTATTGCAATCATAAATTTCTTACAAATATGGCTCTTTCCAAATGTAAATTTAACTTATTACAGTTACAGTATGATCTACTTTTCCATCTGCAGTATGGCTTTGTTTGGTATGAACAATATGGTTATATCAGATGCTGGTTTGTGTGTATTTCTATCAACTGGTATATTTAATATACCTTCTTAGACATAATCTCTTTCAGATAATCCGTCCATACTTTCTTTGTCTCCCTCTACATTAAAAGCTTCATTATGAATATAAATCCTTGTTGTTATGTTTACTACTTTCTAAGGTGTAACTGGCATTTACTAAGCTAGCACTACTATCTTTTGACCACATAATCACTAACCATCAGGTAGGATTACAGTCAAGTGCTACCTTATACAAAATTTAAAAAATACATTGAAATTGTTGTAAAAATTTCTGTTAAACTGTATACTTATAAAAAATGACATGTTTGAAATTTATCAATTAAAATGTACAATTACATTTAATTTATTTATTCAAATAATGCTTGTATATTTATACATGCATTCCATCTTATATATAAAATTCTCATGTCACAATTTTCGTTCCCATACTCCCCTGAAATGGCTTGACCGATTCTCATGAAATTTTGTGAGCATATTGAGTAGCTCTGAGAATCGGCCAACATCTATTTTTAATCCCGTGCGGACGGAGTCGCGGGCGACAGCTAGTCTTATATATAAAATTCTTGTGTCACAATTTTCGTTCCCATACTCCTTCGAAATGGCTTAACCAATTCTCATGAAATTTCATGAGCATATTGAGTTAGTCTGAGAATCGGCCAACATCTATTTTTAATCCCGGGCAGACGGAGTCGCGGGCGACAGCTAGTTTCAATATAAAACATTTTTACTAAAGAATTGATTGTTTTGTAAGCAATGTTAACACTTCACGTTTTTTCACTGACACGTAATGACCTGACTTCGGTGCATTCGGTGCAAATGTACTCAGAAAAATTTAAAATGTGAGATTCCGAATTGAACCTTATCTGTGTTACATAGAATATGTATTACTTTGATGCGCTGTTACTATTTTGTCTTGTTTGATGTTTCAACTTTAATACCAAATGTTTTAGGTGCTATATTTGTTTGATGTTATTTTTAACATTATGCTTGTTTTCGATATGGCTGTTATTTCCAAACAGCCTAGAGTTTTTAGCTGGGTTTCTTGATTGTGTAGCCGGTGCTTGTTTTTTCTTTAATGTTTTTTGTGAGTTAAGATAAATCATGTTGTGTTATGTTCAATTTGATACAAATTTTGGCATAAAAAGCGTTGTTAGTGGATATTGCTATAGTGGAATATATTAAGATGTTGTAAAACTTTATAATCTTCAGTTTTTAATAGAAATCATACAGTAATATGAGTAATGAGTAACTAAAAATCTGTTAAAGTGTAGATAAATCATAGTTATGGTATTTTAAGTATAGAAGTCTCATCAAAATTAATCTTACTAATATTATCAATGCAAATATTTGGATGGATGGATGTTTGTTTGAAGTTATCTCTAGAATGGCTGCATAGATCTTGATAAAATTTGTCATAGATGAAGAACAGTCTAAAAGAAAAACACATAGTCATAATTTTTTTTTAATTTTGCATAGACGAAGTCGCTGGCGGCAGCTAGTAGCTATATAACTAATTGACCAAAGATTGTTTACTGACATAGTTTACAATGATATTCTAAGATTTTTAAATTCATTCAAAAATTTGATTACTTTTTAGTGCCTTTATATTTTATTATAACGCATTAAATATTATAGCCAACATTTTTTTAAGGATTAATTAGCATTTTTATAACACTTTTGTACCTTTTAAATTGTTTTTAAAGGTTCTGTATCATTATGTAGTATTCTATATGTTGTTTGAGCGTAATAAATGTATTGAACAGCTGACTCAGTCTACACAATTCAATTGTAGTCAATAGAAACGCGTCACTGGCGCAATTTCCTTCATTCAGTACAGTATACATTAGCGTTAGTGCATTGAGTGCGTGTGTACTAACGGTGAGTCAAGACAGATCAGTTTTATTTATACATTTTTCACAGTACTAAATTGCTGGCTGGTTTTTTGTTTGAAACTTGTAATTTATAATGAACTAGCGGACCTGACAGATGTTGTCCTGCCTACACGTGTTTAATTTGAATAAATTAATATGAAGTTAATATTTGATGAAAATTGTGAATCTAAACCATTCCCAGATCCCCTTGAACACACACAAAAAATTTCATCAAAATCGGTCCAGTCGTTTTAAGAGAAGTTCAGTGACATACACACTCACAGAAGAATTATATATATAAAGATTAGCGGTCGCCCGCAACTACGTCTGCGAGGGATTAAAAAAAACATAATTAGTAGCCTATGTGCTCTTCAAGACTATGTTATATATGTCTACTAAATTTCATTGAGCCAGTTTAGCTGTTCCGGAGATACCTTCAAACAAACATCCATCTAAACATTCACATTTATAATGTTGGTAAGATTATAGATGTTTTGATAATATCAGCGGGAAATTAGTTTCCCAAAGAATAAGTTTTTTGCTGGTTTTGTTTTTAAATGCGTCAAATGTGTGTTAATAGAATTTTTATAACATCTTACTAATATTGTAAACTATCTTTTGCCCGATACTAAAAAGGGAATGAATATACTAATAAAAGTTATTATACTATGTGTTATTTCAAACTATGTTTTATACCTGTGTCAAATTTTAATAAAATATGTTAACTCGTCAAACATATTAGGAACTGTTCACTTTTCCGGGTAAGAACCCGGAAAAGTGAACAGGTCTTAGTTAGCCTATGTGTTCTTTCTGATTGTGTTCTATATCTATATTAAATTAAGCTCCGTATTGCTGTTCTGAAGATATCTAATAATAAATATCCATCCATCCAAAGGTAAGATGTGAAAATTTAGATGGATGCATATTTGTTGGCCGCAATGTATAGATTTTGGCATGCCTCTGTTTACCTAAGTGCGGCTTTTAGTTCAAACTAAAGACACTTCAAGTATATTGCCTTTTTATCTTGTTTTTAGGGTTCCGTACCTCATTGGAAAAAAACGGAACCCTTATAAAATCACTTTGTTGTCCGTCCGTCTGTCTGTCAAGACCCTTTTTTTTTACGAATATGATGATATGTTTTTGTATATGTGGTTCAGCAGTGAAAACATATGTTAATATTATGTAAGTACAGTCAGGTTAAGGACATGTGCACTTATCGCACTGGTGTTTATTCATTTTGTGAATAATTAACCTTTTGTTTTGGTAACAGAGTTGATTTTTGTACAACTGAGGTTTTTTATTGTTTGATGTTTTGTCTATATGGTATTTACTAGTGATAATAATGCGATAAGGATGATATTTGTTTCAGTTTGATTATATATTTTGTTGTTGTTTCAATTTAATGCTGAAATTATATAAAGGAATGTTTCATACTTGGCGGCCATTACTGTATTTCACTATTTCTGTTATTTTGTGATTTTTTTTAAATATAGTGAATTGATGTTACTAATATTATAAATGCGAATGTTTAGATCAGTCTTTCCCAAAGTGGGCGCTGTAGTGCAAGTAACGCCCCCCTGTGGGCGCTGCAGGTCTTAAGGTAAGAGACCCAGACAGAAAATGGGGGTGGTGTGTAGAGGCCTGGGGGGTTTAGAATTCACCGTATGTTAATATACATACATAGGTCACAATAATTAATTAATTTAATTTGAAGTTATAGTGGTTTTTAAATATGTGAAAATATGGGGGCGACAAAATAAGTTTGGAAACCACTGGTTTAGATGGATGGTTGAATGTAAGAAGGTGTCTCTCAAAAAATCCTGCATGGATCTCGCTGAAATTTGATATAGAAGAATGTTTTAACACATAGCCTAGAAGAACACATAGTCTACTAATTATTATTTTTGTCAATTCTGCGCGGATAGAGTCGCGGGCGACAACTATTATCTTTAAATATATAATTCTTCTGTGAGTGTGTATGTCACTGAACTTCTCTCAAACGACGGGACCGATTTTGATGAAATTTTTTGTGTGTGTTCAAGGGGATCTGGGAATGGTTTAGATTCACAATTTTGTCCGCGGGACAATATTTTTTAATTATTTTTTAATTTATTAGTAGTTGTTGATTTTGGAATGTTTTACATGGGATCCGACAGACGGCGCTACCATCGCAGTGTCAAATTTTAAATAATATTCGAATTTTAATTTTAGCTTATTAAAAAAAGTTTGAAATTTTCAAATTAAACACGTGTAGACCGGACAACGTCTGTCGGGTCCGCTAGTATGTTATAAAACCTAGACTAACCTAGCCTAGTAGGTTTAGTAATAGTTTTAAGTTGTAACGAATAATTTGCGTAGACTAGTTCAAGTTGGATTTAATTTCATTAGCTGTGTGTGCTAATTTCACTAGCGCCTGAGAGTGTTGTGGAATCAGGTCTTAAGTGCACTCTTATCTATTAATACCCTGCTGTACATAACCTTTTGAATTGTTCCCCTTATACTAGATGTTACGAGAAAATATCGTGCGGGGAAGGCCGTGTGCATATAAAGTGTTATGCGCATAAATAGCGTAGGTAATCTAGGCCTATGTACTTACCTTGATATTTACGTAA